TATATATATATATATATATATATATATATATATATATATATATATATATATATATCTCTCTCTCTCTCTCTCTCTCTCTCTCTCTCTCTCTCTCTCTCTCTCTCTCTCTATATATATATATATATATATATATATATATATATATATATATATATATATATATGTATATCTTCGTGTATATATATATACTTATATACTATGCTATAGCGAAATTTGGTCATAGCTGGAACCTGATATTTTATAACAATTCATAGAAAGCAACATCGAAACTAAAAGCAAATTGAACAATGTTACAACAAAAAAAAACAAAAACAAATCGCACACTAAAAAACTGTAAGAAAAAAATGCAAAACTAAAAACGCCATTTAATGGCCAAAAGCTTCATGAATGTCGATTATAATTTATTGTCGGTCTTATCAACGCACATAGCCTCATCCATTTTTCTACAGTTCCCCACTTGGTTTTCCTCGCCGCATTTCGCTCACAATGGACGTCTTCTACTTATACATATATATGTATATATAATACCATATATATGTGTATACTATACTAAGATTTTGTTGGCTATTATTTTGAATATGCATTCGTACAAACATACCGATGCATACTCATATGCATATGCATACATATGTGTGTTTAATTTTTGAACATTTTTGATTTAGTTAAGTGTCGTTTCTACTAATTTTTGATACTAGTTTACACATAAACATATACATTTAATAATATATATATATATATATTTAGTATATACACATTACATATATAATTGCCGGTGTATTGTAGCGATCCATGTTGAGTACGTTAATAAATTAAAACAAATTTGTTTAAATGTCAAAAAATATATAACAACAACAAGGCGCCCAATCGCAAAGCTGATATTTTCTTTGGCTGCTATCATTATTCACTTTGTAATCGCTGCTGATAAGCCTATGACGTATCTCGCCATGGCATTTATGTTGCGATATATCTATGCTTTAGATAAAAGTTTCGGCATGTTCCAGCTACGAGATAAAAACGGCAATCTAATAACAAAATCCACTGAAGTATTAAATGTAATGCCAAACTTGTCACTTTAAATATTTGATGTGATTGATTGTTTTCCTGTGAACAAATAATTGATATAATTTACTGTGGAAAAAGATTGGATTTTGATGAAGCTATCTTGTGCATTTGAAATTCGCGCCTACTCAGTGCATCATCTAAGTGCGAGCGGGACAGCTCTATAGGTACGCGAGAGCAGTGCTGAAAAACGAATACGGGCTAAAACAGTGCTGAGCAGCAGCGAAATTTGAACTTTGCACCACAGCTGATTGACTCGGTCCCAGAGAATTCTCCTGTATTAATTTATTGAGATGGCACAGGCTCTCAAGTTGTACTACGATTTCCTGTCCCCGCCGTCGCGCGCTGTGTGGCTAGCGCTCAAATTGAGTAAAACGCAATTTGAAGCCTGCCCCGTGGCGCTGCGCAAACGTAAGTTGAAGTGCGTCAACAGCTGCGCCCGGCGAATAAAATTCGAATTTGTTTGCAGGGGAGCAGTTAACCGATGAGTACAAGAAAATCAATCGCTTCCAGAAGTTGCCCGCACTGGTGGATGGCAGCTTCCACCTATCTGAGAGCGTGGCGATGATTCGGTAAGTGTAAATACCAAAAAGCCAAAGGGGTCAGCATTAACAAGTTCCTCTCTCATTAATTCCAGTTATCTTGCGGATAAGAATCAGCTAAACCAGCAGATTTATCCAAAGGATCTGGAGACGCGTGCTCGTGTAGATGAGTATTTAATGTGGCAGTTTCAAAACGTCCATGTGCCCTGTGGCACATACTTCCTGAAGGGTTGGCTATTGCCCATAAATGGACTCGCACCCAAGCCCAAGCCGGAGGTGGTTGCCAAACTTGTAAAAGATGTTGAGACCAGTCTGGATCTCCTTGAGCGCTTCTGGATGAACGACGATTACTTGGTAGGCGACAAACTCACAGTGGCAGATTTATCGTGCTCCTCTGAGATAGAACAGCTGAGTAAGCTACCCAACAGCAGTGTTCCTTGGTATTCCTTTACTAATGCTCTGGGCTTCGCAGGACTCTGCCAGTTCCATGTGAACGAACGACAGTTCCCCAAGGTGGCCAAGTGGCTAGAGCGTGTGCGCAACGCAACCAAGCCCTACAACGATATCGCCTACGAGTTCGTTAACCAAAAGGCTAAGCAGGCAGCTAAGCTGTAAGCCGATCTAGTCCAGCTCCCTTACTTTTCCCCTACTGCCTTCTTAGTCTAATTTTTCCTCAATGTATTTAATTTATATTCTTTCTGTTAGCGTTAAGCAGATTCTGTCTGCATAGGTAATATTCATATAGTTGAACTTTATCGTTTCTATTTGAAATTTGTGCTTCAACTGATTTTTTTACAACATTAAAAATTATGTTTTTATAAATATGTACTACAATAAAAAGTATATCTAATCAATGTCCAGTTTCCGAAAGGAACCTTCGATGCCGAACAGTGTTTCCGAATTGATGGGCTGTCCACGTCGCAGCTTCTCATTCGTACCGTAGACCACATCTTCCTGGAAGAAGTCAGTGTACTCTAGCAGCTTATTCGTCCAGGTATCGACAACGTCTTGTATGTTGCCATTGGTGCCGCCATACTCAATGGGCAGATACTCCTTAGGAACGTACTTGTACAGCGAATACAGCTTGGTGTGTATATGGAACTGGGTAGGAGAAAGTGGAAATTATATAGTTATTTTTGTATATATACTCATTTCCAATGTTTTCAGAACTCACCCGTTTGCGTATCTTGTCGCTCATTAAGCTCTTGGCTATGGACATTGCCTTCTCGGCAATGGATGGCGCATTGATGAAGTGGAAGCCCTTGGGTCTATATGGCAGCGCCTTGTCGCCGAGCACAGCCAGCTTCTTGATGAGGACCGCGTCGAATTGGAACATGTGGCCGGCGGTGACCCCTTTCATGTCGATTATCTCCACAAAGCCAGATACCATTGCGTTGTCGTCCTCTCTGATTTGTATCTCGCCCAGCATGGTGTTGACCTGCATGACCTCCGCAATGGAATACTTGCTGGAGTCGTACTGGGCATAGCGTGAGATGTGAATGCGTGGACCGTCCACTTGCAGCGGCTGCGACAGTCGCAGCAGGCAGCTAAAATATAGATACACACACAAATATACAGAGAGAGAGAGAGAGAGAGAGAATATGAGAGATGATGATGACCAGCTTTCATAGCACCTACCCTGTCTTGAGTATGTTCAGCTGTTTCTCGCCCACAAACCGATTCTTGTACAATTCCGGGACAGCGCCTCGCATAGCATAGAAGTTGTCCAGCTTGAGCTTCGTCTTCTCCAGGCTGTATTTGCAGCCACGCAGAAAGGCGACCAAGAACTGTGCATCCTCGCGTGCTTTCAGGTGGGGCTGCTTTGAGATCCATGTGCGTATCGTCTCAATGTCCTCCGGTACTCGCTCGGGTACCTCGCCCAGCTCCTTTTGCGCCTTCAGAGCCAGCTCGGCACTGAGCGGGCGGATGCTCAGATTATCAAAGGACGACATGGTTTGTGGTGGGTGGGATGTATTGTTTGGACGCGGCTATCTGGTGGTACAGAACTTTGATTTATTGAAGTTCGGTTTAGGTGGGCACAGATAATAGTCAAAAGCATATTTCCGGGCGATTCGCAATTGTCATGTTTTAGTGATTAGATATGGACTAATGCTACCAGGTGCTTCAGTTTTAACGAACAAATGAAATGTCATAGATCTGACAAGCCCTTGGGCTATCACTGAACAGATTAACAGTTGAACTTGTATATAATTACAGTTACTTTTAGCTACTATCTCTAGTGCTGGGGCTGGGGTTGGGGCTTTGTCAGAGGGGCAAACGAGGTGTAGCTGGGGCGTTATCAGTGCCGCTACAGTTCGATATCTATATAGGCGCAGGCCTTGAATCGTCTTTAACTATGCGACACAAAGCTTTGTATAATTTCCACGCTTGCTCGACCTCTGCTCGCAATTGTCTCTAATTTAATATAAACAGTGATATACATATCTATTATATATTTAAGTTTATATATATTATATATACGATATGAATATATATTTTTCTCGACGTACTTTTTACCGTGTAGCTGTATGCACATATATGGGTGGCTTTACTTTTTCACGTTGTGCGACCCTATTCGAATATATAGTATATATTATATATATACAGTATATGTGTGTTTTGAACCGCTAACTACTGTCCACGTCTGTGGTCTACGCGCAACTGTCAGTCCGTTGGGCTGCGGATCGAGTTGTTGGGCTTTCGTGCTCGGTATCGGTCTCGGTCTCGAACTCGGAATCGGGACTCACTCCGATGTCGTCACGGGCTATGACGCATCATCTAATGACAATTGGAGCAGCACACAAATTCTGACAAACCAGAGACCCAAGTGCTATTGAACTGACCGATTACTGGATATTGAATACAGTTCAGCTGACAGCGTTCAACGAGAATTATGTAGAGAAGATGTAAGAGGTATTACAATGGCCATCAGAAGGTGTAGCCACTGAAGGCAAGGCTCATCTTGGATGGCTAAATTATACGGATAGTGGAGTGTTATGCACTCTAAAGAGTTAAATCATCATCTGCCTTTACACTCTTTCGGCACATATTGCCTAACTGTCACTGGCCCAATTATCAGTCTCCGCGAATATATATACATATAAATATATATATATATAT